TCTATGACCCACTGTTCATTCTGAAGTATGTTGTTCAGTCTCCAGGTGTTTGTATATGATAAAGAGATTCTTGAGTTGTTGATTTCCAGCTTCACTCCATTTTGGTCAGAGAAGATGCCTGATGAGATTTCAATTGTTTTGAATTTGCTGAGACTTGCTTTATGGCATAGCATATGGTCACTCCCTGTACTGGTGAGAAGAATGTGTATTCTGCAACTGTACGATGAAAAGTTCTGTAGATATCAGTTAAGTCCATTTGGTCCATAGTGTTGATTAACTCCTTTGTTTCTTTGCTGATTTTCTGTCTGGTTGATCTGTTTGGGTGTTGTAGCCCCACCATTACTGTTGTATTGGAGTCTATATCTCCCTTTAGATCCCTTAACATTTCTTTTAAATAGTCAGGTGCCCTATAATTGGGTACATACACATTTATTATAATCGCATCTCCTACTGAATTGATCCCTTAATCATTACATAGTGCCACTCTTCATCTAACAGTTTTTGTATTAAAGTCTATTTTGTCTGATATTAGAATGGCTCTTTTTTGTTTCCATCAGCGTGGAATACCTTTTCACTTCCCATCTGCAGATACCATTGTTGATGAGATGTGTTTCTTGTAGGCAGTAAATAGATGAGTCTTGTTTTTTTAATCCATTCAGCCATTCTGTAATTTTATCTGGAGAGTTGAAGCCATTTATATTCAATACATGCATAGTGACTTGACCCTGTCATTTTTTCCATAAATATTCCTATTGTTTAATTGGATTTCTTTTGTACTTTTACTGGCAGATCTTCTGTCTTCACTTTCTTTCATAACGATGGCTGTCTTTTTGAATTGTGTGTGTAGCACATCCTTAAGCATTTTTGTATGGATGAATGAGTGGTGACAAATTCATTTCTTTTTGTTATGGAAGGTCTTTATTTCACCTTCATTTATAAATGGGAGCCTTGCAGGGTATAATATTCTGGGTTGACAGTTTTTTTTTCTCTGAAGGCTTGGACTATGTCTCTCCATTCTCTCCTGGCCTGAAGACTCATGTATGAGTCTAATTGTAGACTCTCTGAAAGAAATCTGGCATTTCTCTCATGCACATTTAGAACCTTTTCTTTATACTTTATTGTTGAAAGTTTGACTACAATATGTATGGTGAAAATTCTTTCTGGTCATGAATATTAGAAATTCTATGTGCGTCCTGTAGTTGGATTTCCCTTTCTTCCACCAAATTGGGAGAGTTTTCTGTAATTATTTCACTAAATAGGCCTTCTACTCCATTCTCTCTTTTCACACCTTAAGGAACTCCTAAGACCCCCATGTTGGGTTGTTTGATAGTATTCCATAAATCTCCAACACTGTTTTAAATTTTCTAATTTCTTCTTGTTTTTGGTCTGACTGAAAAATTTACAAAAATTTATCTTCTAACAGATATTCTTTCTTCTGCCTCATGAAGTCTGTTAAGGCTTTCTACCACAATTTATTTATCTATTGCATTCTTCATTTCTGATATTTCATTTTTATTTCTCTTTAAAATTTCAATTTCAGAGGTAAAAATTTCATTTGTATCATGTATGAATTTCCTCACTTCCTAGATTTGCTTCTGATTGCTTTTGAGTATTCCTATGATTAATTTTTTGAATTCCATTTCCTGCTTTTCATCAATCTGTTCATCACATTCTAATATTGAAAATGTTGTTATGTTCCTTTGGGGGAGTCATGATGTCTTCCTTATTCTTGTTTCTTGAATTTCTGCCTTTATTTTTAGGCATTTGTAGAGATACTTATTGGTTTTCTCTTCTGATGGCTTTTATCTTTGAACTATACCTCTGTGGCTTAGTGGAATATCTTCACTTTCAGTGAATACCAAGACGTGAGTGAAGGTGTGGCCAGGAAGCTCTGATCAGTGTTCTAGGGTAGGGCAAGTATCCATGGTAACACCCATATTGGGCGCACTAGATCTCTTGTTAATAGAAGTTGTGGAATTGTCACCTCTGTTGGTGTGACCACACTCTCGTCTCCTCTCCTCCAAGGTTATCAATGCCCAGATTTTAGCCCCCAATGGGTATAGCACTCATCTTCGATACCACATGAACCAAACAAATGATCTGTATAGTCCTCACTCTGATCATGATTCCCACTGCAGTGACCCACCCTAGACATCCAGGGAGCTCCCAGCCTATGGAGCTGCATGCAGTGATTACCCAAAGACTCAGCTACTCCCTGCAACCTTTTATGCAGCCACTGAGTCCCAACAGTCTCAGCGCACAAGGCTCCCATTGTCACTCATTGCAGAATTGCCACTCTGCCATGCCAGCTTGTTTTGTCCACGAGAGCCAATTGTCCATCAGTGCTCTGCCTAGACAGCTTGAGCCCCAGGGTCTGTGGTATGTTGGGAGGCTGGGGGCATCTCACAGTCCTACGTGAGTGCCAGCCCCATGTCTATCCTCCCAGCCAGCCTCAAAGTCAGTGGAGACCACAGATTGTTCCCTCTGCCAGAATGTTTGGTTCACATGCATACACAAAAGTCACTAGCTAAATGTTGCCCTCTCTCCACCACTGCCTCCAGTACTGCTGAGATGATGGTATTTTGTCTCAGCCAGTTGCTATGCATGTGTATAAGGTGAAGCCGCTATCAGAGCCCAAAATGGTGCCTGCCCTCTCTCAGCTGGGCATTGGGCACTGTTGTGGGGAGGATAGGGTGAGAGAAATGTGCCCCTTTTATTTCCACTGGGTCTGTGGGGACCTACTCTCCCCTAAGGCTCCAGGCCAGACTCTCTCCATATCACCACGGGCTGTTGCTATTTGGTTTCACCCCCATCTCCAAGCTGCTGGCTGCTCTGGCTCTCAGCTGCTTAGTGTGTTGTGTCCCTGTTGGTGCTGTGTGTTTGTACCTTCCTCACAGGTCCACAACATTCCTCTTCCTGCTGTAGAATTCCCACTACAGTTTTCTCTCTAGTTCTCCCCTGAGAGTACACTTTCTACCTTTTTGTTTGTTTGTTTTGTTTTTTTTACCACCTTGGAGATCCTCAACTAAAGCCATTAGATTAGGTGTTTATACCACCAACAGAGAGAAAAAAGAAAAGAATCAAGTTTAGAGAAGGCTATGGTGAGGTTTGTATTGAAAATACTGAGCATTTAGTATCAGTGGCTATTTAATGTATGAATCTGGAACTGAGCTAGTGATATGGGTTGGGCAGTCTCCATCATCCTAATGTGTAAGAGACTTCCTAGGCGAAAAGCAAGGGGCATATGGGCAGAGAGAACCCTGGCTGTGCCTCAGTTGGTCGTAGATTTTTCTGCACCTAATTAATTATCTTTTATCTTGGATAGGCAGCTTGTGTGCTAACAATTCAGCCCTCCCGTATTTCTCTGCTTAGGCAAGTCAGTGGTCTGGAGGCTGAAAAGGGAAATACAATTTTAGAGTTGAAAGAAAATGTTAAAGTACAATTATAGTCTCCTTGGAGAACTGGCAACTTTTCTTTAGAATTATAGTGATAGGTTTTCCTGAGTCAGTCCTCTATCTCTCCAGAATTTTGTTTTAAATTTTGAATTGATTCGTTTTTCTTGTTATTACACTAATTATAGATATTTCTTTGGAAATTTTCTGAGAGACATGAAAGTACATTAAAAAGTTTGTAAAAAATGAAATTAAAAGGTAAGGTTTTTTGGAGCATTTTTTTAAATTTATGCAGAAGAGGCCGGCGCCGCGGCTCACTAGGCTAATCCTCCGCCTAGCGGCGCCGGCACACCGGGTTCTAGTCCCGGTCGGGGAGCCGGATTCTGTCCCGGTTGCCCCTCTTCCAGGCCAGCCCTCTGCTGTGGCCAGGGAGTGCAGTGGAGGACGGCCCAGGTGCTTGGGCCCTGCACCCCATGGGAGACCAGGAAAAGCACCTGGCTCCTGGCTCCTGCCATCGGATCAGCGCGGTGCGCCGGCCGCAGCGCGCCGGCCGCAGCGGCCATTGGAGGGTGAACCAACGGCAAAAAAGGAAGACCTTTCTCTCTGTCTCTCTCTCTCTCAATATCCACTCTGCCTGTCAAAAAAAAAAAAAAAAAAAGTAAAAAAAAAAATTTATGCAGAAGTGTCGTCTAAAAGTTCATGAAAATGAATATTATAAAAACTTATTCATGAATTTAAAAAATGCACCAAAAGAAACTTACCTTTTATTACATTTTCCCATGAGCTGGATCTGTAGATGGTTATGATACCAGAGGCGTGCAAAGAATATTAACTTTCATTTCAGATCAGTATTTTAACTAAAAATCTGCTTTTATCTCAGTTACACTGAGAGAGAAGGAGAGTCAGGGACAGAGACAGAGACAGAGAGAGAGAGAGGTCTTCCATCCTCTGGTTGGAACATTAGCACCTTATTTGAGATTTAACTTCCTCATCTGTTAAAAGGGGATAATAATGTCTACCTTACTGACTTATTCTAATTATTAAGTTCATGAATAAGTTAAAAAACATATGGTATATAGTAGTTCCTCTGTAACTATTGGTCACTGTATTGACATTACCAGTGCTGTTGTTATTTGTTACTTTTCATAAATTCTGACTTTAGTTAAGGATAAAATTATATTATAATCCAGTTGATAATAGTTATAGAAAATAGTTAAATATCACTTTAGTATATGTCAGCCAGTATTCTAACACTTTACATCTATCGACGGACTGATGCTTGTAACTGCACTGAGAGGTAGGCTCCATGCCTCTTTTACATGCCCCTTTTACAGTTAAAGAGACTGAAATTGAAAGGTGAAAGGATTTGATTGGATGTGATGGGGCTGGGTTACAGATTATGAAGAATCTTTTTTTAAGATTCTCTGAAAGAAAATGTTGATCATAAACTTCTTATGTCAGAAATTGGATGTTTTCAAAATATCTGCCAAACATGGCAGTTAGGGTGGTTAGCAGGATTTTCTGGAACACTGATGATAAGATGTTACCATTGTTTTAATGCCCTATTGTCATTGTGATGCTTTAAACATTGTTTTTCTCTAATTTCAGCCTGTGAGGTTGAAGCGGGGAAAGTATATCAGGTCTCCTCAGAAGAGCACATGCAGCCTTTCAAAGGAAACATGGAGCAATTTATCATTCAAGGTAAATTCTAAAAAGATGTGCTGTTCCCCCACCCTTTTCAGCACATGTAGAATGATTCTTTTAAATGGATATTGATTTACAACGTAGTTATTTTGATATGATAGAAAACTGAATTAGGTTTTATCATGAGTCACAGAGTTGTGAATCCAGCAATTCACTAATGATAGCATTGTGTAGATAATGGTCTTTTTGTTTCTTTGTTTTCTGCATGACAGTAAATGTCCTAGATACCAGTTAAAATAGCTCAAATTTATTTTATTTTATTTTTCTAAGATTTAATTATTTATTTGAAAGTCAGAGTTACACTGAGAGAGAAGGAGAGTCAGGGACAGAGACAGAGACAGAGAGAGAGAGAGGTCTTCCATCCTCTGGTTCACTCCCCAGTTGGCAGCAATGGCCAGAGCTACACCATTCTGAAGGCAGAAGCCAGGAGCTTCTTCTGGGTCTCCCATGGGGGTGCAGGGGCCCAAGGACATGGGCCATCTTCCACTGCTTTCCCAGGCCACAGCAGAGATCTGGACCGGAAGTGGAACAGGCAGGACTCGAACCAGTGCCTGTATAGGATGCCAGCACTGCAGGCTGTGGCCCAACCCACTACACCACAGCGCTAGCCCCCAAATAGCTCAAATTTATAAAGATATTAAAAAGGTTGTGATTTTGTTATAAAAATTAGTTATACTTCTAAGTTTTAACTATGATTGTAACCTCTGTTCCATCTGGTACTTATTTGGTTTGTCAAAATATTTTACCTAAAGCACAAAGCATATTTTTCTGATCTTCATACTATAGTTTGCTAGACAGAAGACATTAATAATGCTAGATATTTAACACCTTTCTTCCCGGGAGTTTAAAAAACTTTACTCATACTATCTTGGTGCCTCTTTCTACATTCCTATGGGATAAACAGGAATGGGAAATTTCAGAAGATACTAAAGAAATACTCTTTTTTTTTTTTTTAAAAAAAGAGGGAAACCATCAACTGAAATTCTCACTGATTGAAATTATTAAAACTTAAAATTGTATCGAATCATTTACTACTCAAACATTTTGGCTTTGGAATGTTACATTTCTTCTGCAGGTCAGATGTATGTCATGCCTTGCTCTGTGAAAGTTCTTGCTGTTTCAGGAATTCTCTTGGAGGCTAACATGGCATGAGACTGAGGCCAAGTTGCACTCTGAAGATTGGCTCTGCTCTCTGTTCTTAGGCTATGTTTTTTATAGGCTGTTCAAGTGCTATTAATTATGACTTATAATGAATGAACCATACTGCAATTTGATTAAATGTTAACCACAGTTTTTTTTATATGGGAAAATATTAATCATTAAAATAATCCTGAAGAAGTTGGCGCCGCGGCTCACTAGGCTAATCCTCCACCTAGAGGCGCCGGCACACCGGGTTCTAGTCCCAGTCAGGGCGCCGGATTATGTCCCGGTTGCCCCTCTTCCAGGCCAGTTCTCTGCTGTGGCCAGGGAGTGCAGTGGAGGATGGCCCAAGTACTTGGGCCCTGCACCCTATGGGAGATCAGGAGAAGTACCTGGCTCCTGCCTTCGGAGGCCATTGGAGGGTGAACCAATGGCAAAAGGAAGACCTTTCTCTCTGTCTCTCTCTCACTGTCCACTCTGCCTGTAAAAAAAAATAATCCTGAAAATTGAAAAAGAACTCGAGTCAGATTAATAAATCAATGTGTTATTTATGTGGTTCCAACATGGTAGAGTAGGGAGGGAACTTACTGCTCTAGTCCAGGAGAAGATAGCTTAAAAAAGGTGGAGAGAGTGTAGTCTCAGGGAAGAGTTAGGAAGAAAATGGCAGAGGAAACTACGAAAATTAGAGGGACACAGTGGACCTACATGGAGAGTATGGACACCCACAACTCAGGACTCCAGCAGTCGAGTTGGAAAGTGAGATTGGGAACTGGGGTGATGCTCGCTTCACAGAGGAAGTTTGGGATAATTCCCTTTGTATGGAAAAGCAGACAGAAACAAAGTTGACAGGGTACAAATTCATAGTCAGGCCACATTTATTCAAAGAAAATAAACTTGCTGAGGTCTACCAAGAAAAAAAAAAGTGTCATTTTCAAATTTTGAGGTTCTCCTAACTTACAGTAGAAAATCTCCTTATTGATTCTTAAAATGTTCTCTGATTGAACTCATCAGTCCTGTAGTCACATACTAGATGATTTTGTAACCTCTCTCCACTCTTAGTGGATAAAATTGAATTTTGCTTTATATAATCAGTGGAGTTTTTGGATTAAGAATATGCAATTTACAAATTCTGGAATATATAACTTTAGAAAATTTTATGGATACAGTATAGAAAATTCTCTCTGGCTTACTGGAAGAAAGGAATCCTTAATTCTAGAGCTTATTTTGAAAAGTGGTCTATCAATTTGCTATATTTCAGTTCTAAATCTAAACATTATTGCTTACAATTATAATTATTATGGCTTACAATTGTATGTGATATAACATTTAATATTATGGATAGTATTTAATAGCTTCAGTTTTGAGATTTGCTTTATGACTGGGTTTAGTCATTTTTATTTTTGAAATTTTTGTTTATTAGAGAGAGGAGAGAGAGGAAGAGACAGAGACAGAAAGAAAGATCCTCATCTACTGGTTTACTTCCAAAATGCCCTACTGACTGGCAGTTTGCCAGGTTAAAGCTAGGAGCCTAGAACTCAGTTTGGATCTCCCCAATGGGTAGCAGGAACCTAACTACTTGAGACATAACCATTGCCTCCCCAGGTGTAGATTAGCAGAAAGCTGGTTGGCAAGGAGATCCTGAACTCAAACTCAGTGCATTATGGGATTATGGGTGTCCCAAGAAGCTTCTTAACTGCTGCATTAGATAGCTGCCCGTGAATTTTAGTCATTTTTAAAAAAAGAATAGTAAAATTGTATATTACAACACATTTGGAATTTCAGAATTACATTTCCAAGCCACTGGTTATCAGGCATTAATAATATCTTTGGTATTTATTTACGATAATCTATTCTTACCAGTATGAAATGCTTCACCTTTTGCCGTTAGGTTAAGTAAGATGGATTTTGCCTTCATGGCACTTCTTCCACCACTCCCCATTGCCGTTTGATTTGTCCTCTGGTCCAAATATTCTATGGTTATTTGTTCATTGATTTTTTGAATGTTTTGTATATACCAGGCATTTTTTGTGTATATATTACAGCAGTGAATAAAAAATAGTATGTGTTGGGGCCGGCACTGTGGCGCAATGGGTTAAAGCCGCAGTCTGCAGTGCCTGCATCCCATATAGATGCCTAGTCCTAGCTGCTCCTCCTCCGATCCAGCTCTCTGCTATGGCCTGGGGGAACAGTAGAAGATGGCCCAACTGCTTGGGCCCCTGCACCCCTGTGGGAGACCTGGAAGAAGCTCCTGGCTCCTGGCTTCAGATCAGCTCAGCTCTGGTATTTGCGGCCATTTGGGGAGTGAACCAGTGGAATGGAAGACCTCTCTCTCTCTCTGGCTCTACCTCTCTCTGTAACTCTTTCAAACAAATAAAAATAAATCTTAAAAAAAAAGAAATAATATGTGTCTTAATGTATCTTACATTCTATATTATATGGAAGACAGATCATTACAAGATAAACAACAGAAAACTTTTTGGAAAGATTTACATACATCAGACATGTGTAGATCGAATGTGTCAAAAAGTAAAGAAATAAATCACCACTTTCAGAAGTGTAATTCTGAAATTCCAAATGTGTTATAATATACAATTTCACTTTTCATTTTTTAAAAATGACTAAAATTCATGGGCAGGTATCTAATGCAGCAGTTAAGAGGCTTCTTGGGACGCCCACAATCCCATAATGCACTGAGTTTGAGTTCGGGATCTCCTTGCCAACCAGCTTTAAATGTAATCACCCTCAAACCTGTATATATTGAATGTAGTGAAAGTGATTAATTACCTCTCCCTCTCCACTGTAGTTGTAATTTCCCCCCAGCTTGATTTCTGCAGCAGCATTTAGATGTGCTTTATCCTATACAAGGGAGCTTCCAAATGTTCATGGTGAAATGAAATAAAAAGATAATGCAGTTTTCTGTGAACTGTTTGAAGCCCACTCATAGGTCATAAACTATAGAGCAGATACTAAATACCTATGGAGAAGCCACATCTTTTTAGTGACTGTGATTCTTGATTATTAGAGGAATGAATAGAGAGTGAGAGAAATCAAAGTAAAGAGAGGGAAAAATAAGATATGAATGAATGGACACAGGAGCAAATGATGATTGCATTGGGGGAGTATTGAGTTGTGAGAGCAGAACCTGGACAGAGGCTCCCAAAACACACCTGTGTGCACCTGCATATTCCTGGTGGAGGAATCTGGGGTACATTCTGAAGTCCTGGGAAGCAGAAGTTAAAAATTTAAGAAAAATGAATTGGCAGCAATAGGGAAGGGCTAGATGGAGGCAAATTAGACTTGGAAGCAAAATATCACTTACAAGATAGGTATAGTACATGATTAGAGAAATGAAGAGGTTCTGCACTTATGACAAAGATATGGTGCCAATAAGAAGAAAGATCTGAGGGGTAGTAATGAGATAGAACCAAAAGGAATAGAGATAGTGGATAGGTATGTAGCATTTAGGTTTGAGTGCCTGAGTGACTGAAGGCATTAATAACTAAGAGAATAAAAAAATACAGATTTACTATCCCTTATTCAAAATACTTAGAACCAGAAGTGTTTGATTTCAGAGGTTTTTTTTTTTTAATTTTTATTTTGGAGCATTTGCACAGACTTTACTTGTTGAGCATCCCTAATTAACAATCTGAAACTTAAAATGTTTTAAAGCCCGACGTTGTCACTCACAAAGTTTCAGATCTTGGAGTCTTTCAAGTTTTAGGTTTTTGATTAAAGATGTTCAAATTGTACAGGAAAAGATTTGATCAGTGTGCATGATCACCTCTATGTTACCATACAAATGGGCATGCCTAGCAGGCAGGTGGTTATATGAGTTGAACGTGGCCTAGAGGTTGAGA